AGATATCTCGTTTTCTTTAAGGAGATCAAGCCCATTGCGGTAGAAAGAACCCAAATACAGATGCAGCATTTTCAAAACTATGACTTGTCCCCTCCAGGATACAACAACCAGACCACTTGTCGTATGGTTCAGGCCAACTTTGCACATGATGGTGAACCCAAAGCTCCACCAAGAAAAACATCATTCTTTGCTAGTAATCTCTCTTGTATAGAAAATAGTTGATGTGTTGGTATAGAAAAGAGTAGATGAGATGAGCTATTTATAGGCCACTGGGACCTTACAAATTACTCCAAGAAATAATGACCATTCAATAAGAGAAAATGGAGAGACTCTAGATAATAAAGACAAAATGAGAGACTCCAAATAATAACTCACCAACAAGTTCATGAATTCTAATTGACCTCCATTTATGAACAAGATAAGATTCATGAATAAAATAAAAGAATATTCATAAACAAAAATATATAAATAAATAAATAAAAGATATTAAAATGGTCCAATAATATTTGCTCTCTCTCTCGTCACCCAAATTTTTTCAATTCCTTAATGCAAAAGACTTTGATATTTATTTATTTACCCATTAATTATCAACCATATATGGTCACTAGTTTCAACCTGCAATTTCGGAAGATAAAAGGAAAAATCATAGGAAACACCTTTGCCGGGTAAGAGTCTTAAATATTTTTAATATACTCTTATTTTTCTTTTTCATTTTCTTTTTTTAAGAACCAAACAGCCAATGAATGCAATAATACGCCCAACCATTTTGATAAGAATAAAGTTATACGTATCCATTAGAGTTGGTTTGAGGTGTGAATTGAATTGGCAGGTTGCGTTTTGCAGAGATTTTTAAATATGATTTGAGAGTATGAGTTGTATTTTAAATTTATGAATTTTAAATTTATGATTTGAGTGTGAAAATTTTATTTGGTGAAAGAGTTTTAAATTAAGTGAGGAATTTTTGATGTGACATATGATATTTGATATAAAAATTTACAACTCATAATCAAACATACAACTCAAAATTTTATTAAAGCACATAAAAAAATTTTAAAAAATCAGAAAATATTTTTTTCGAAAATATAAAAAATTAACATATGTCAATTGCAAAGAAAAAAAAAATTGCACTATTCCGGTCAACTGGTGGGACATCCGGTAGGACGTCCGGTGAGACGACTGATTAGTCCAAATTTTCCCACTTTCAACCGCGTTTTCAAAAATGAGTGTGGAATTATGATTTGAAACATCTAAACAAACATCATGTGCAAAATAGTTCCAAAACTATACCAAACAGACCTAGTTTTTTGACTTTTTAATTATTTTTGTTTAGAATTAAAAAGTCTCATACAGGATAGGTTTTTTTTTTATTTTTTTGACTTTTGTGAGAATAAAGTCATAACCAAATTCTTTTTAAAATTAAAATTAAAAAAGTAATTTGTCATTTGGTCTAAAATAATAATTTCTATAGTTAAAAAATATCAAAAACAAATATAATTTTTTTTTTCAAATAACAGGTGGTGATTGGCAATTGTAAAAAATAAAAATTAAAAATAATTGTTCCGGTCAACCGAACGGAAGACTGGATAGACCAAAAATTAAAAAAAAATTGTCTGATTTGCCAAACTTGTTTTCAAAATGCATTTTGAAATTGATTTTGAATCATGATTTGAAAACCTTTGCCAAATATAACATTCAAATGTGAGGGTGGAAAATTGATTAAAGTTGTACACCAAACACAATGAGGGTGGAAAATTGATTAGAGTTGTACACCAAACACAGCCAAAATGATTATGAGTTGAATGTGACATTTTATCTTATTTTGTTAAAATAGTCTATTTTATCTTATATGACTATTTTAGCTCAAATACTCATCCCAAACGGGCCTTAGTATATCAATTAGTAATATAATTTTAGAAGTTTTTAATCTTTATAATTTGTATAATGAGTGAAATTCGTAATTTTAAAAGTAATAATGTCATAATATATATTGATACATTAATTGATATATTAATTAGTGTATGTAGCACTACTGGTTTGATAACCACAAAGACACAGTTTAAGATAAAATAAATGACAAAAGGGCAAAAAAATAATAATAAAAAAAAAATTCTAAAAACTTTGATATTTATTATGCAAATTAAATAAACATGGCCCCATAAAAAATGGAAGCAACTAAGAAGGTAAAATAGAATTATGCTTAAGTCTCTGCAAGAAAAAAGACATACAGCGACGTTTTTTTCATGACATTTTTCAAAAGCGTCATCAAATATGTCCAGATTTTTTCAAATTCTAAAAGAATTAAACTAAACCATCTTGTTTTGTGCGCCGATTATTTCTTTTAAACAAAGCTATGGCATTCGTTTATCCTGATTGAACAGAGGCGTGACTTTAGGAAGAGAGAGAAATCGAGGCGTTGGATCTTCGATCTCCATCAATTCTTCGACTGTTTGATCCGAAAAATCTTGTTCTACTCTTGATTTGAGCGTATATCTTCCTGATTATTCGAATCCCTATGATCTAAATCGATCTAGGGCTCAAGGTTAGGGTTTTCTAGTGCGTATATCTTCCAGATTGTTTGAATCCCTATGATCTAAATCGATCTAGGGCTCAAGGTTAGGGTTTTTTGGAGCGTATATCTTCCAGATTGTTTGAATCCCTATGATCTAAATCAATCTAGGGCTCAAGGTTAGAGTTTTCTGATATAGATTTGTTGCATTCACACAAGATCTATAAAATTTCATGGCTAAAACTAACGATTTGGAATTATTTTCTCTTGATTTAGTTGATTTCCAGCTTTTTCTGATTTTGTTTTGTGTTTTCTCCTTTTGTTTCCTTTATTCTTTCTAGTCCTTGTGTGGAAAACTCTTCTCTTTCATCAGATTGAGCAGCAGCAATGGTGAATCGATTTATCTAGGGCTTCGAGTGCGGTGTTAGTGTCTCTGATCATGTACGGGACAAGCAAGTGGCATTGGATGTGGATCGTTGGAAACAGTGAGTAGAAGCTCAACGATGAAGAGATGCAGATCTGCTCTCTCTTCGATCAGATCTGTTCTCTCTCTCTCTCTCTCCCTGATCTGCTAACATGGTAATATCAGATCTGCTTTGTCTCTCTCTTGTCCATTATTTTGCCTTTTTTTGGAATCTCATTTTGGCATTTCTTGCCTGCAAGAGAGTGTTCATCACACTTCTCCAACATCAGTAATCTATTTTATATGCTGAAAATGTCAATTTAACTTTGAACAACTGTCACTTTGGAAAATTATCTTCACTAGTTCCGATAAGGTCAAGGTAGTCGTTTACTATCTTCATTACTTTGGAAAATTATTAGTCAACAAATTCATGCTCTTTGTTGAGCATGAATATGTTTAAAATATTTTGTTTTCAGAATTTTATATTCATATGAATCTGAAATATCAAAACTATTATTTTTGGTGATACTGTGATACACAATCTAAGTAAGTATCTAACTGTTAGTATCTGACTTTAAATTTCCAGATTTTTTTTATTGTTACCTCACTGGCAGGGGAAATCCAAAGTTCAATTTTCACAACTACAGAATTTGGTCATTTCTTGGCCTTTTGATGACAACTTACACTGCATGGTACTTAACCATTGCTTCTTTTCTTCACTAAGTGCTATCAGTGCCCTCACAAGCCTTGACAAGTCTTCCTCCCTATCTACCATTACCAACATCAAATTCAAGAATTTGTAATACATATGGAAGTGTGTAAAGAGATTGCCTTTTGTAACCTTTTTCTTTTGTTCCCTTGAAAGTTGTGTGTCAATCTTCTTTTTTCCCTATATGATTTTAATTTCTAATCAAGCAAGAGAAATGTTTTCTGTTATGTTGTCAATTAGGAGGAAGGCATTGACTAATTTCTATTATGTCCTCAAACTTTTCTGTTTCTTTGTTTCCAGGAGTACGACGAGTTAGATTTTGTCTCAAGATTTTTGTACATCGAGCATGATTCAATAATTGTGATAGTTTTGGGACATGGGACAAAAGAATTTGGGAACGAAAAATTCGTAACCCATTATCTATGCCAATCAACTAATCACAAACATAATCTGCAAATTTAGGCCACCCTATCTAGTGAGGTTGAACTTTGACTTAAAACTTATATTTTTATTTTTATGTCACCTCATTAATTAGGTGTGTATGACTATTCCAGACAATTTGATGGAATTTGAAATACTAACACATTAGGTTTATGCAGAGGTCTCCATTTGCACCAGCTCTGGCCGAGGCACTTAGGGACAGGGTGTTTGGTGTGGATGATTCTGAGTGACAATTGCATATAATTTACCTTGCCAATGACATTCAATTTGACAGGTACACTTCCAGTGCTATGCCAAATCTTAGTTCAACATAAATTTGAGTGCTGTTGAAATGAATTTGATTTTGGCTGCTTTTCTGTGTGTGAATGCCTATTGCTTTATTTTCTTCTTCTTTATTACATTTATTGCAGGATTCTTATTCACTGATATTTTCTGCCTCTTAAATGCTTCCACTGCTTCATATCTCGTGGTGTCCACTGGCTACTCGAGTACATTATTATGTGTCCTTCCAAATTTGTCATATAAAAAATAATAATAAAATTTGATTTTCCTCCCAGATAGAAATTTCTTTTTAAGTTTGTTCAACTTGATACAATGATATTACACTGGTGTTTTAATGAATATGTGGTATTGATCTATCCTAGTAATTATATTTTGGCAAGATAGCAATGTTCTTCGATTTTGATGATATAGTAAGGGGAATTAAAATCGAGCTATTGTGATGCGAACGCAGGAAATTATTTCTTTCTTGAATGCTTCTTAATTGTTTAATCTTTTGGCTATCAATGTGTGCATTGATGCTACATATGTTTATCTTTGGGTCATTCTTGAAACATGCAGCTTGCAGCGTAGGATCAACCCTCATGAGCTTGATAATGAGGCACTTGCATTTAAGCCTGTTTTAGGTTCCATGCTTGCTAGGATTTACCACAACCCTCAAACCAAGGAGGAAAATCAATCACGATTGCAGAAAATCTTACAGTTCTAGGCTTCCAAGGAAGTCTATGATCATGTCACTATTCATGCGCTCGAGAATGAGATGATTGGTGGACCACCAACGAATTTCTTTCCAATATTTGGTGGTTTCTACCATCAGATATTTGTTTCTTCTTTTTTTCAAGTTACCATTATAATAAGCTTTCATTCACTGTTTGTTTACTTGTTCAGGAAGCGGAAAAACTTACACTATGAAGCCATTGCCCCTTAAGGCCTCTCGAGATATCTTGAAGCTGATGCACCATACTTACTGGAACCAGGGCTTTCAGTTGTTTTTCAGCTTCTTTGAGATATATATATGGAGGAAAACTTTTTGATCTCCTCAGCGATAGAAAGTAGGTGCTGTTATCATATCCTGCTTTGGAATTACCATTTGTGGTCTTTTAATTTCTCTCTACTTATGCAGGAAACTTTGCATAAGAGAGGATGGTAAACAGCAAGTTTGCATTGTTGGTTTGCAACAGTGCAAAGTGTCAGATGTGGAGACAATCCAGGAGCTCATAGAGAAGGGAAATGCTACAAGAAGTGCAGGCACAACAGGTGCAAATGAGGAATCATCACGTTCACATGCCATTCTTCAGCTTGCTATTCAAAGGTCTGCTGATGGCAGTGAATCTAAACCTCCGAGAGTTTTTGGCAAGCTCTCCTTCATAGATCTTGCTGGAGGTGAATGAGGTGCAGATACTACTAAAGGTTCAATCTTTTGACTCTTTTGGCTTATCTTCAGATATTTATTCATCAATGAAGGTTCAATTTGTCGACTCCTATGGCCTGCAGATCCATGATTTTGACATACTTCTTTCATATTTGTAGGAGATGAACCTGTTGGTTGAGGCAGATCAACTAGGAAATCAGTTGGATGATTATATATCTAGATTGAATGCAATCCTGTCCCAGAAGGCTGCTGGCATTCTACAACTACAAAACCGTCTGATGTCTAAAGGAGCATAATGTTCTAGTGTCTTCCACTGATTGCTAGACCAGTATATGTAATCGTTTTCCATGTTGTAGATTTCATTCTTTTTTCAGTGCTCCAAATACTGTGACTAATATAATTAAAATAATATTAAGATTTTTTTTTTTTTGCACAATGATTGTGGACTATCATTTGATATGATTTTATTATTTGAGTGGGAGTTATTATTTTATATTAGTGTTATTCAGTTTTATTAGAGGTATTTTTTTTAGTTCATTCGCATAAAATTAGCACAATTTCAAAAAAAAAAAAAAAAA